CTTTCTAAGGTAATTACGATTAACCTAAAAAGATGATGATGATATAGAGCTGATCATAAGCAGAAAAAAATAGGATCATTTAAAGAGTTCTTAGAACTTCAGCAACATGGGCGCGCTTCAAGTGCCATGCTTTTCTGCTCTTCATTTATGGAATCCTTTCTTTCGTTGAAGTCAGAGCTCTACTCTTTCAAATAATCTACTAAAACAATTCCAATATCTATCAACTGACTAGCTGTACTGATTCGCTCTGCGGTCCGATTCAGCTCTGCTCAGTTCGGCTTCTCAGCCATCCAACTCCCTTTCGCTTTTCTCAAGAACCTTCTTGGCTTTGCGCAACTCTAAAACATGTGCGTATAAGTGCAGAAATCAAGGGTCTCACTCGCTTAACTGCACTAATGAAATACAATTCAGGTTTGGACCGAGTCTTTCCAACCAGGCCACAGATTTCGTCGAAAGTTTATAAAATAGCCCTCTTATTAGGGTGATCATAGGAAGTGTCGATAGAACCAATAATGTGCTAATCTTTTTACAAAAAAGGTACTTTCTTTGAGGTAAAAGGAGAGCATATCCACTCACCCGTGCGAATTGAAGTAGAGTTTTCTTCGTAGAAGGAATAGAACTGGCTGAGACTGTTCAATGTTTCATCGTTAAGAATAAAGGGTTCTCGTGAATCCTTCGGTGGGCAGACAACATTGTCTCCACCCTGGAGTTCATAAATGCAGAATAATAATTAATAAACGTATTTGTGTAATATAGGAGCCACGAATTGTTCATATAANAGCATTCGTTACTAGAAATAAGCATACGACTTTTCGATGAACTCACTCCTTCGACCAAGTTGTCCAACACTTCGACCCTTTTCTGGACAACACTCACACGATCTTTGTGCTCATTGACTTCCTGCAACTTACTTTCGTGCTTTGCGCGTATCTCGGCCACCTGAAACCCAGAAGTTCCATTCACCTTGCAATACAATCAGAACAGTCGTCAATGATACCTTAGGTGAATCAGTGTCTCCATGAATAGCGGCCTTCTCAGTGAGTTGTACGTCGTGAATGGTCCCGTCACCTCGCCCATCCACACGGACTGAGTCATGGATGATGTTATGAGTGACATTCTAGAATAGTAGATTTTCTGAATAGGTAAACTGAATAAAAGCAAAACTGTAGAGCCTATGATTCCGAAGAAAATGCTAGCACATAGCCACGAGACCAGGTTTTAACTCCAATATCCGGTTTATGCCAGATCCGAAAAGTTTTTAAAATTGGTAACATGAGCTCGGTTGTCCACAGAGGTTTACTGCGGAAATACTAAAAATCCCAGGCTAATCACTCATTCCAGATCCAAAGCCTATATGAGAGGTGGACATATAAAATCTGAAATAGACGAGATCGCTGACAAGAATCATCAGTGGATAAGGTCCAGATCATCATAAACTCCTACGACGCCGATTGTAGTACCGTACACGGCTTCCACAGTATTTAGAGGTCTTTTAGTGCCCCCGTGAAAGTGTGCAACAGTAACCCCCTAGTGCCCACCAACCACGGGAGACGGAACTTACGTGCGTCCAAGGATGCGCGCTACAAATTGCGGGGCGGAATTCGTGGCGATTTGAACGGCCTTGGCGTCTATCAGTGGGGGCCCCAGTGAGATGGACTAAAGCTGTTCAAATCGCCACGAACTTCACCAAGGAAATTGCCGCGCCCATTTCCGGACACACGTATGTATGTGCCCATACCCCAAACCACCGCCGTGGGCTTCACCTGGGGCACCTCCTGTTGCGTCGTATGTGTGACAAGTGTTTGGAGGCGCTTGAGTGTGTGTTCGGGTTACTGAGTAACCACTCACGGGACGATACCAGGTGGACCTCCTCATGATAACACGCTCCAGTGCATTGTTTTGACTGCGTAAGTGAGTATCACGTAGGTTTTTGTTTATCAAGTTATTACCTAATCACCTTTATGTTTTCTGTATATTATCCATTTTGGGTTGTTTCTATTCTACTTTTTCTTTTACCTATAACCTTTCATAGTATTTTCTCTTATCTTTCTCTTTCTACTAACCTGTTTCCTCTATTACTAGGCTTGTTAACTTGCACGTTTTGCTAGTCGCTAATTTATACTCTAGTCTTCTACTAAGCTTTCTTATAACTTATTCGTTCTAATCATCTATTCTTCTAGTCATATTTCTCTAGTCTATTATCATGCTAAGCATTCAATTAACTTATAATTTTTTACAGTCTAAATATTACTTATACTATTACAACTATTTTGATCATATCTAATTCTTAATGTTTCATTCACCACCTCTATTCTATTTTATTTGTTACTCACTAACCCCCACTCACCGAAGAGCCTCGGGGGTTGGTGAGTAACGAAGTGATTCGTCT